TGCCCTCCGCACTCGCTAGCCCCGCAGTCCGCACGCAGCCCGGCGTCCCGCTCGCCGACTCGCGCCCGCTCCCTCTCGCCCGCTCTCCCCCCCAAGCCTCGCACACAAACAAGATGGCGGCTGTTGTTTCTTCCCTCTGCCGAATCCTCCTTACAGGCTAGCGGTAGCGGCGGCGGCCGGAAATGAGCCAAGGGGGGGGGAAAGGAGCAGGGCTGGCCCGGGAGGGCGGGGAGGGGGCGGGGCCTGGGCCCAGGAGCTCGCACAATGGGGGTTGCTGCGCCGGGGGCGGGGCCGCTCCCCATCACGGGATCCGCCCAAGGGCCCGACGCGGTAGGAGCTTCCGCAAACTCCCCGGCGTCACTCGGTGGCTTCCCTTTAAAGGGGAGGATTGGAAGGGGGGGCTCGGGGGCGGGCTCGGAACGTATTTTCAGTCGGTGGACAGTTTCGGGAGAAGGTACCTGGGCTGGGTCTCTGTACAGAGGGCAGCGGAGATCTGGAGCTGCTACCGGGAGGTGCAAAGTCAATGTGCAGGTGGCAGTCTCGGGAGACTCCCGAGGAGGGCTCTGCGGGTCCTAAGAACCGCGTTAAAGCCACCGAGCACCAAGCACCTAGCATCTTATGTTTTAGCATCGAGACTCAATACACCCCCATCCCCTCCATCACCTTCCCTTCATGCCCCAAAGTCACACTGATTACCAGTTCCTTCCATTTTCTCTGCTTTGTCCGATTTTTAAAGCTTTTGGACAATGAAAATAAGTAGAAAAATGGGGAAAATCTCAACAGTGGGAGGATGGTTAGGGCCAGACCCCCCCCCCACCTGTATTCTTGCCCACCACGTGTCTACACATCCTTACCAGGACCAGGTATCTTTCTCACCAAAGAAGCCCATGAGAAACATTTTTCTGAACCTGCCTGAAACTTGGAAGGCATTTGGGGGTATTTCCACCCATCTCTAATAGATAAGGTAACTAAAATACCACGTCAAGTATGCCTTAAATATAATGTAAATGGGCAGTAAGAAAAAAATGTAAAGTGCCAAAGGTGACATAGCAGAAATGTAAGGATGGGCAGAACCTCTCAATTATGCAGTCCAGTTGTGAGACAGCCCAATTTTGCAGCAGAGAGAGCACACTTTTACAGTCCCTCACAAGGCAAGAGTCCTCTTCCTTGGAGCTTGGCATTCTGTAAGCAGGAGAAGGTGGCAAGGTTGTAAGCTGGCCTGAAGGAACTGCTCACACCAGTACCTTCTAAGATGTGTAAGACTGTTCACTTGCTGGGGCTGTAGGTGAGTGATAAAAGGCATGCCTACCAGTCATGAGGCCCTAAGTTCAGTCCCCAGTACTACCAGGAAAAGACTTCTTAAATTTGTTTCTTTAGTTGTGTGGTGGGGGATATACCACAGGCCTACAAGTCACTGGACCACTTGAGGGAGTCAGTTCTCTCCACCTTATGGGTTCCAGGGATCCAACTAGGGAGTCAGGTGCCTACACCTGCGGAGCTATCTCACTGGACCCTATTTTTTCATATTTCATATCACAGGCTCTTTTTCGAGTTGTTTATAAGTGAATGAAGAGAATAAGTAACTTGAGAAATTAAAAACAGAGCTGATGAGATGGCTCAGCAGGTTAAGACACTTGCTCTAAAGACTGAAGATCCATCCCGAAGACCCACATGATGGAAGGAGAGAACCAGCTCCCCCAAGTTGCCCTCTGACTTCCTCTTATGCGTGGATACATGCACAATTAATAAATGTAATAACAATGAAAAAATAAAACCTAGAACTGATGATCCTATGAAGCAACTCAAGTTGTCAAGGTGAATTCTGACTTGGGATCTTCAAACCTAGTTCAGGCAAACAAGTGGGGAAAAGCAGGAAAAGTTGCCAGGCATGCTGGCACACATCTTTAGTCCCAGCATTCGGGAGGCAGAGACAGGTGGATCTCTGTGAGTTTGAGGCCAGCCTGGTCTACATAGTGAGTTCCAGGACAGCTGTAGCTATAAGAAGGAGGGAGGCCCTGTCTCAAAAAGGAAAAAAAAACAGAAAAAAACAGGCAAAGTGACAAAAACAGTACTTCTTCTTTTTCTAGGTACTGGGAGTTACAACCCAGGTGTGGTGCACACTAGGCAAGTGTTCTACTGCTAAGGTGGCTCCCCAGCCTTTTATTTTGTTTTTGACCTTCATTTTGAGACAAGCTCTCACTAAGTTGCCCAAACTACCCTGGAACTTGCTCGCAGGCTCTTGAATATGCAGTCCTGCCTCAGCCCCCAGAATGCTTTGGGCCTCCACACCTGGCTCAGGACTGAGTCTCCTTAAAACTGTTTCAGGATGGGGCTGGGGATATGGCTCAGTTGTGGAGTACTCTTCTAGCATACGGTGAGGCTCTGGATTCAGTTCCCAGGGCCACACAAACTGGGCATGGTTTATGCATACCTGAATTCTAGCACTTGGAGAATGGGAGAGAATAGAAGTAGAGGCAGAGGTAGCACAATCAGGACTTTAAAATGGGATTACATCTAACCTAATCAAGTGAAAAAAATAATCAATTGTGGGATTTCATGTGTAGATTTGCAATTGTGATGATAGGGTTGGGGATATAGCTTACTGGTAGAATACATGCCTAATATGTGGACTCTGGGGTCCATACCCAGCACTGCAAAAAATTGCATTTATGAAAAAGAAGTCATCTGAGGGCTGGAGAGATGGCTCAGCAGTTAAAAGCACTGGCTGCTCTTGCAAAGGACCTGAGTTCAATTCCCAGCACCCACATAGTGGTTAACCACTGTCTGTACTCCAGTTCCAGGGGATCTGATGCCCTTTTCTGAGCACTGAGTGCACCGAACAACACTGGTGCACATAAATGCAGGTAATACACTCATACACATAAAATAAAAATAATAAAATATTTTTTAAAAAGCCATCTGCTGGGCACGGCAGCACAT